TATATAACTTACCAAGATCTATACATAGTCTAACTTCTTGATGGTGTAATCATTTAGACACATAAAAACATATCAGTATCGTCCATCTTATAATTTGGACTGTGTTCTTCAATTTTATGTAAGGGGTAATTTCTTCTGACAAGTTGACAGCATTATAACCTTTGATATTTACAAATAACACAAACTGAAATACATATGTATTACCAAGATTAAATTAACCTTCGTACAAGCATGATACATTTAAGTTCGTGTATAATTCTTTTCATACTTTCTACTCAGTTAAACTCTGACAAGCTGACAGCATTATAACCTTTGATATCTACAAATAACACGAGCTGAAATACATATGTATTACCAAGATTAAATTAACCTTCGTACAAGCATGGCGCATTTAAGTTCGTGTATAATTCTTTTCATACTTTCTACTCAGTTAAACTCTCTCACCGACCTTTCTTCATTAGTTACATGTTGGTCAACGACCGCTTCTTGAGGAACATTTAGTTCTATATCATGTAATGAAACCAAGAACATCTAATATATAACGACACTGATTGTGGTTCTTGTACGATATAAAGGATGGAGAATGTTTTAAATACTTTCTTAAATTACTCTATCATTGGAAAACTGAGTATCAAGAATATTTTTCAATACAGTGATATACTTCTAAGTTTGTGATCTCACGGCAAAAGGTACGGTCTACAAGAAAAGACATATCAATCATTGACATGAAATCAGTTTATATAGAGCATTCCTATAAGATTCACATAAAAAATATTCACCGACATGATTAGATTTATTTCTAAAGATAATTGTTCAAAGACCATGCTTATTATTATCAAGTTACTATTAATCTTACGGTATAACATAATAATAGGGTTTTTACATCTTATATATCAACGACTGATTGTTTTGCAGTTAAGCACAAGGTTACCCAAAGGGCTATCTGTGCGCTGCCCACACTACGGGTATCGAAACCCTGTTTCTAGCGGTATAAGTACGTAGACATACCGCTGTGCCATTGGGGGGGGGGCAATGTCAACGACGTTGATATAAAATTTACGAAAATTTAATACTGTTCACTGTATTAATAGGAATATGTTAGAGACATAACACATTACCACACGGTTCTCCTTTAGTTCCAGTTACCTAAGTTCAGTGGTGAGAGAATGATATCCACTTTTAAAGTAGTCTTGTGATCATCGATAAAAAATCATTCTTTTGACAGTAAATAGGTGTACAACGTTGAACATATTGACACTTCACTTCGGTGTTATATTTGTCGGTGAAAAGAAACAATTTTAGGGACACGGTGTCTGACAACAGTCTCGAAGTTTCATACCAGATAAAAATTACAGTTAATCAGAGTTTATCCATCGTGCAGACCTACAAAAAGCTTATTTTCAATCTATACTAAACGTACAACGACTTATTTAAGTTACGTAGGAACAGATAAGTTTGTCGCAAGTGCTGGACAAGACCTATCGTCCAGTATCGAAGTTCGTAGTGTCGTCTGGAAAAGTATCAAATTATGGGTTAAAACACTATATCAGTTGTCAACGTTAGTTCATTTATTAAGGCATTTACTTAAAATATTACACAATTTATAAACGACAGAGTCTAATTCTTGTATTTCAACAATCGATTCAGACACTTTCAGTCGACTTATAATAATTTGTCAAAATGAAAAATCTGTTCAATTCTAATTTATGATATTTACCTAAACATGTGAAATGTATGAAATTTCGTTATACATTTCATTACAATGTTGCTCCCCAGTGGCACAGCGCCATATCTGCGGACTTAAAACGCTAGAAACCGGGTTTCGATACCCGTGATGGGTAGAGCACAGATAGCCCATTGTGTAGCTTTGTGCTTAACTTCAAACAGCAACATCAACGTTATAGTTTTGAAAATGTTTTTAAACAGTGTTGATATATATTAAAAGTTTTCAAATATTGTATATTGAGGTCATTGACAGCCACATGACAATGGTCAGTTTTGATTTATATAGCAGCAGCGATAGATTTATTTACGACACTTTTTAAATAATACAGGGTAAAAGTTTTGTTTACTTAAACATTTCCATTAGGATTTACTTCACTGGCATTCAATATCATAACAATTACACATAGAACATACTAAAATATCTTGGGAAACACCAATCATCATGTTGGCATCCCCTTCTTCCAAAAACATTTAACCATGCATTATTTTACAAAATTCACAATAGTCTTTGTTTACACTAAAAATACGTTCGGGACATATCCTGGTAAGATGGTCCTTCATTCTTTGTACTGTTACTACGTTGGTTGTCATTTGACTGTAGAGGTCTCTGTTGTTCTTAAATCGTTTTATTCAGATGAATTAGAAGTTGATAATATCCCCTCTTTATTTGATCAATGACAGAATTTATGTAAACAGATTTTGATACTTACCTAAACACTATAATACATAATGAAAATAAACTGAATAATCAGCTTGAATCAATTTTTCTTAATATACACATTGAACAAGTGTAGCCTACTTTACAAGTACTGAAGAAAAAAGAGTGTAAAATTGACGATCTTTTTCAAACTCATTATTCTTGTAACATGAGAAATAAATAAAACGGGACTCACCTTATATAGATCATGTTTGAGCACACTTGGAATTTCCTCCAAGGCCCTGCACAAGCCCTCTTTTCTGTTCATAGACCATGGTGAGGAGTTAGTTCCATTAGATGAAAAAAAAATCAGTATCCATACGTAAGGGTGTTAAAGATGTGTCATTTGGTGGAAACTGGACGATAATTTTCTTCTTTGTTGTAAATGGTCTGAGTCTTTAAATCTCTGTAAATCTTCTTATGATTAGTCACAGTTACAGAAGGCTGAAAAGGACTGAATGTATTTGTTATCTTACACTTCATTGATGAGAAGTTCGATTTTTTGCTGTTGATAAAATTAAGGGTAAACCCTCTAATTTTACAGCATGACTTTCCGTCGTCTCGTAAGTACCCGTAGTTTTTAGATCACCACTGACCCACAATGCTATACAGTTTCTGTCCAGCTCGTCTCTAAACTCGCCAAGATACTCCCCTAGAGGTGGAACGTTAGACCCATCTGAAATGTAGATAATACTGTCTGTATTATAATACAATACAGACGAACCCAGCTTCTCTACTGTGTGTTATAACTTCAGACGAGCATGTGATGTGAAAGCCGCCAGAAAGATGTTGGTTTTATCTTTCTAGGGCAGATTTTTATGTTTCTAATGATGAGCTATTATTTCTTCGTTAATCAGTGTAACATTTATTATTATCTTAGTATTATCATTCATTAAGAATGATAAAAACCATATAACCCGAGCGCTTTCGAAAGGTGGACCTTTCTTCTTCAGGGGCAAACTGGGAATGGTGGTATCCACATATATTTCTGGTAGTTATTTTGATTTAAACTTAATTATTTCAGGGGAGTATAATAGAATGAGTGGTATATAAAGGGAGTTGAGTGACGTCGTGAAGGTCATCTGGTCTTCCAGGAAATGTTTAGTATATTTTTCCACTTCCGGTACAATGTGGTCGGTGACGAGAGCGTTATGTAATGAGGCGTTAGGGATATTTTGCTTTAGAAATGGTTAAAAATAAATAAATAAAACTATACTTAAGTGTTTAAGTAAAATAAAGGTGGCACCCGGAGACTGATTGAGAAAGAGATGTTAAGCTAATTGATTTATACAAACAGGTATGGAAAATTATCTTAAATAAATAGTAAGTTTTAGAAAAATTAGGGTTCACGCTACGTGAAAGAAATAAGCAAAGAACACAAATTATTTTTCTGATAGAGATAAAACCAATGATCGGAGATCACTGATTCGAGGTTCTAGATTGATTCCAAAAGGTCGTAAAGTGTTTAGATTTGCAATCCAATAAACTTCTTTTATTTCTCTATCTGCTTTAGTTTTGAACCCTGTTTCAATGCCGATGAGAGTAACATTGTTAATGGAATGACAGGGTTGGTTAAAGTGTTGAGCAACAGGGAGATCTTTTTCGGTGTTAATAGAAGATTTATGGTTGTTGAAACGTTCTCTGAGAGTTGTTTGTGTATGTCCTACATATTGGTGGTTGCATTTTTGCACTATATAAGGTTTTTGTGTTCCACAAGTGATTTCTTTGGAAATTTTAAAGTTTCTTTGGTTGTGCATATCAGAAAATGAGTCAGTGATTTTTATGAACTTGCAGGTTTGACAACGAGCTTTGTTGCATGAATGACAACCATTTTTTGGTGGGGTACAATTCACTTTTGTGTGATAAAGGATATCTTTTAGAGTTCTGCTTTTTCGGAAGGAGACAACGGGAACTTCAGGAAATATCTGTTTAATTAAGGCGATCGTTAAGTTGTAAGAGATGAAAATGTTTTTTTTTTCAAAATTCGTGAAATGTTTCTGGGTTTAAAGTGATAGGTAATGATATGAGGAATTGTATTTGAAACTTTAGTATTGCTTTGTTTTGAGATTTCTTTTTTCCATTGAGTGTTGTTAACCTTTTCAATTTGTCTGTCGATTTCGGTATCTTTATATCCTCTTTGTAACATAGTTTGTTTTAGATCCATGGTGTGTTTTCTATAGACTGTTTCATCTGAGCATATTTTATTTATTCTAATATTTTGATTGTAGGTAATGTTCCGTTTTGTGTGAGAGGGGTGACAGCTTTATAGTGAAGGTATTCTGGTCTGTCTGTAGGTTTTTTGTACAAGTCGGTGTATAAAATTCCGTCATTTATAAAGACAGTGACGTCAATAAAGTTAATTTAGGTAGGCGAGTAATCAAAGATAAACTTGATTGTTTTGTGAAAGGAGTTTGCATATGAGATAAATTCTTTAAGTGATTCAAGACCGGCTGTCCAAATGAAAAATATGTCATCTATGTATGAGGTTTTACAGGGCTAAGTTGTAAAAGCTGGCTTTCAATATGACCCACAAAAATATTGGCATAATTGGGAGTCATTTTGGTGGTAACCATTCAATAACGAACGTTAACCTGAAGGTAAAACAAGGCTGTCAAGTTCAGTTACTGTTTGAGATTCTGATGGATAAGAAATATTTAAAGAGCATTAGAGTTTCTAGTCCTTCATCATGTGAAATATTAGTGTAGAGGGAAGCAATATTCAAAGTGCAAGGAAGACTGTTAGGAGGTAACTGTCCGTTAATATTTATATATCATATGATATTAAGAAAGCGGGTAGTATCCTTTATGTAAGAAGGGAGAGTACAGGGAATACATTTTATGTATTGGTCAATAGAAGCGGACTGCTTTTCAGTAGCCATGTTTATGTTAGAAATTATGGGTAGGCCAGGATTGTTTGGTTTGTGTATTTTTGGTAAGATATAAAATCTACCAGGAAAAGTTTGTCTGGGCATCAAATACTGAAAGGTTTCTTTGTTAATTTTATTGTTTTGAAGGAGTTATTTAAGCTTATCAGTTATGGTCTTAATAAAGTAGGTTGTAGGGTCATGTTAGTGTCCTCTAGTTGCCGGTTAGCTTACGTGATATAGTCATCTTGGTAAGAATAACAATAGCTCCACCCTTGTCTGATGGATTTATTATGATATTGTTATTCGACTTAAAATTGTTTAGAGCAGTTCTTTCATTTTAGTTAAGATTATAATGGCATTGATTGGAAGATCTTAAGGTCTGTATTATGTAATTTTGTACTGCTTTAATATAACTCTCTAAATGTGATTCTCTGTTTGGTGGAGGTGCCCATAAAGACTTTTCTTTGAAGTTCAGTATATCTATATCAGCAAAGTACGGGCATTTAGTCTGCCAGTGCAAATCACAAGTGAAGAATATGCTTGTTTCTTCGATCGTGGATGATGTCCAGGTGGAAGCATCATACGCTTTGGCTGCAACATGTATCCTCTGAGCAGACCTGGAGAGCTTTGCCCATTTAATGGTAATCAGTTTGGTTGCATTTCAGTGCTTGAGTGTGCTGCTAGCTTGTTAACCATTGGTAAGACTAGTGTGAGTCGATAGAAGTGTCTGAGTAGGTTGGTCCAGCTGAGATGTAGCCACTACAACTATTCTGTTGTTGTGGGCTTTTTTCTCTCTAACAACTATAACTACTTTATACTGGGTAGTGATAAAGACTGCTTCTGTCAAGATGAGGATTTATTTCATCACCAAAGTGAGTGGTGCCACAGTGCTTTATCAGAAAATATCTTAATAAACTGATTAACGAGTATATCATTTTCAAATGTTGTTGCCATTGCAAGGTAGAATTTACCTTGCAGTTGGCAAAGATAATCTGTGTAAGCAGCCAGACCTCTTGTGAGCATTAAACATATGCTGATGTATTGACCAATTCACCACTGGGTCGAATCAGCAGTGCAACTTATCTATGACTGTGTATCGAGCTAAGAAAATAAACAGACTGGATACGTGAAGTAAAATATAAAACAATCTTTATTATTTATGAATCAATCAGTAGTTGCTGTTTTTCAATATATCTTTCTATCAACTGAACCATGTTAAAAGCCAAACAGAACTGCATAAATACAATGCTCCTTATTTAACAGGAAATGTCAAATTTAACCATGATGAATAGTGCTACTACATAACTGGCCATTCTTATAAAACATAGTTATGGTCATAACCTCTAGATATAATTTATTTAGCCAATGAAAAATAATGCTGTCACTGAAATGTTTGCACAATGTGCAAAGGTACAGTAATATACCTGTGGGTGGAGCAGGAAATAACTACTATAGAACAACAAAGAAATAAAGGTAAGTAGAATGAATATTACTTAACAGTTTTGTAAACCACGTATTTATGTGAAACTAGAATAGAATCAGACTAAATGAAAAGTTTAGAAAATTTCTTCATTAAAGTGAAAATGTATAAAATACACGTTATGCCTACATTACTGTAACCAGAGCCGATATTCTATGAAGGTCAAGCTTGGGTTTCATTTAATAGCTTCCTATTATATATAAGCGTATATTTGTGTGTGTGTGTGTGTGTGTGTGTGTGTGCAGGAAACCAAAAAAACAACAACAACCGAAGATACGAGTTGGGTGTCTTCATAGCTAGTTATGGCCCTGTTTGCCTGCATACCACATAATTTCACCATATGTGCTATAAAGCTTTAGTACAATAAAATGCAAGACCATTTATTATTGTATATCTATTTGAGAAAAATACAACACGGGCCACTACCCGTGCTTAACCTTAAACTTGCTTTGGCCAAAGTGTACTTACACCAAATGTGTGTTAATTCAAAGCCAACTAACTCAAGTATACAGTTAATATTAATCCATTCAAGAAGCTCACATGAATAACTATTATTGTATGTCTCTTTTATGTGTACATTTCTTATTTCAAAGGTGACAATTTGAGATTATTTAATGGCTTCTACAATTTTAGCATAGCAAAATAATTCATGATGTTGAATATTGCATGTGTAAGTAGAACCTGAGGCCATTCTTTTTTTGGTAAAAATAGCAAAGAAATTACTTGTCTTCTAATATAGTGAATGGTAACAATAAAAAATCTGGAATGATGAGTTGAATGAATGAACAATGAATAAATGCAAGATACTTTAACATTATAATTAGAAAGCATTTGACCACACAAAAAGTGTGATCACCTATTTAGAAAATATATTCCTTCCTTACCAGAATGTTATGGTTGCACTGGGTAAACTGAGAGGAAATGGACCTGGAACAAGGTTACACTCTAAGTAGAGCTTTCTTTTATGTTTTATGACATATCTACTGATCTCACAAATTAGTGTAATTTCAAACACATATTTGCATGTGGCAAGTACAGCTCACAAATTGTTTAAAATCTTGAACATGGGAAACGTAATGGAACTAGCTGATGAGTGCATCCTGCTGTATCATCAATACATCAAGATGAAGAAATTCACCAGCAACAATTTAAATTAATATCTTAGTATGTAAAGAAAAGTGCAATGGTTTAAACTAGTATCTCAGAAGGTAAAGAAAAATGCAATAGTATAAAATAATATCAGAGTATGTGAACAAAAAATGCAATGGTTTAAACTAACATCTGAATATGTAAAGAGAAATGCAACCGTTTAATTAACAAAGTGTTAGGTTTTATGCATGTGTATAGATGGGCCGGATTCTTTACAGTAGGTGTCTGTGACTTGTTGATGACAAATTTCAATAATAAACAAACAGCACAAAATCCACTTATTTTGAAATAATATATTAAAAACAAGTCAAACGTATATACAAATGTTTGTTACACTGTTGGTTGCCACAGTTGTATCCAGAGCTATAAATGTCTCTTTTTCGTCAAATTCCACACAGTCTTGTTCAATTACTTTAGAATACAATTGGACAATACGAATTATTCTTCCTGCTCTGTTATTACAATATCATTGTGACATTTTCACTTTAAAAACTGCAACAATACACTCTTTATGGTCAAACTCATAATCACTTAGTGTAGATCTAACTATCTATATCTCGAACTACATTTTGGATGCGTAATTATAGCCCAACAAAGGCCTAGAACATTCTACTCACTATGATATATTATGATCCAACAATACTCAATCAAAACAATGAGAAAAACTTAGAAGGTTCTAGTAACATGATGCAATAATACAACAATATATGATTTGTACACAGTTACATAATCAAACCTGCATTATTACTCTCAATACTGGCTCGGTCAATTTGACCGACCATGAGACTTTTTTGTACTCGTTTAAAGTCTTTATAGATTTAATACTTTTAACTCTCAATATAGTGGGCATATCTTCACAAAATTTGGCAGTCTTTCAGTTAAAATTACAAGTTTTTCACTTACAAAAAATCATATTTCTTAGTGAAGCATAGTTAATAAAACATAATATAGATTTGTCCATGATTATATTGAGTATTTATTTTCAATAGTCCGTGTGCAAAGTAATTTTCATGTTAAAATTAAAAATACTTTTCCTCATTCAAATTTCCTTTATATAATCCCTAAAACCTCCTAAATGCATTTCAAACGTTTTTTTAGTAAACTTTATAGTTTATCTGTTATTTTTTCTACCCTATCTTAAAACGGGATTGGTCAACTCAACCGACCTCGTAACCACCAAAAAAAAAAGAAATAAACCTAAATTAACCTTTTATATTTCTAGAATGACTTCAAATCGTAACATTAAACAACATTCGTTTATCCTAAGTAGCTCTAAGTTTGTAACATTATACATCTATTTATAATTAAATTTTATTGTTTTATTGCCCTTTGAACTGTGTCTACCTGCTATCCGCGCCATTATAAGTTGTAAATCACTCGGGGAACGTATTTTTAGATTTTAGTTCCTTTTACAATAATAAAGAATAAATATGAAAAACAAGAAATATACTACTTACCTAATCTTTTTTACTTGCTCTCAGGTTTTGAAGAGAGTTAAGCCTCATTTTTTATAGTAATGTATTTAATATTTTTTATTTAATAAAATAATGCACCAAAGAATATAGACTAATAACATGTAAAAAGTAGACAAATTCTCTTACCTCTCAAAACTTTCCTGGCTTTCTAACTATGCGACAAGAGCCCTTACAAATTCTTCCAAGCTAGTCGTTAACTTTCCCAATGAGAATGAATCTTGTACTGTGAGTGAAATTGACGATATTCTGTACAGAACACAACGTTATACAATACGTCATTTGATAGATGAAAACCTTGACTGTCTATTGGTTATAGGTAATATATAATGAAACATAAGAGAGAACTATCAACTAATTGTGAAAGAGAGTATGTAACAAGTGGGTGTGACAGGAGGGGTCTGATTTTCTATTCAATAGATCTGTAACTAAACGAAATTGAAGGCTATAAAATTATGGTTCGTCGGAGCAATAATGATTTGATAGAGAGTAATTTACGTTTAATTTCCTACATTTTCGAGGGGTGATGGATAAAATAGGGATGATGACATGCTAAAACAAAATGTGTCACGTGGGTCACACTAGTGAAAATGCAGGATTTTTTAAAATATTTCCTTATAGATTTAAGAACTTAAACTTGTATATTATTAAAATATGGATTATTAACTAAAATTTTATGCTATTATAATTGGTATAACATAACCAAAAAGTAGTATAAAATAATTTTGAATGTAAGATACTTAGACCTTTTGTCATGCGCAGTAAAGGATACCCAGGGCGATAGGGATAAACCATTGCTTCTAAAAATATGTAAATTTAACACTCATGCTATACTTATATTGAAACAGTCATGTATATCTAACTATATACAAAAGCTGTTTTCTGTTCACTCACAAAGTATACTCATACAGTCTTCACCATCATTTGCAGTCCCCATGATGGCCTTAATGCAGAACTGATAGTTCTGGAGATATAATGGCCACCTCATGATCCTTACATTTCTTGCTTCTTCAGGTCTCATCACATAGGGCATCAAGTAGGGCTTCACCTTGACTAAATCCCTGATTGGGGACTTGAATTTATGTTGCACAAGGCCTGTCATGCCTAGTCTATCTTTGAAGATATCAGCATACTGGTTTTAGGTCTATTAATTGTTAATTAATTGTTCTTCCCTCTCAAAGTGCCTCTTCAACAGATTGGTGTGTTAGATCTTGGTTTCCCATCCACTTTCACCTTATAATCCTTTTTGCTGATCACTTTCTGTACTTCAAAAGGTCTTTTCCACTGCAGGGTGAGTTTGTTGTTGTTTTTGGGTAGCAGAACAAGACCTTTTGTTCGACCTTGAAATGTCAGTCCTTGGCTTTCTTGTCATAGAAGTGCTACAGATTGCCTTGAACTGCATACAAACTCTCTCAAGCGAGTTGACAGGTCTCCCACAGCCCGTTTCTGAGGTCTAACACATACTGGTATGTGTTCCTCACTTTTGACTCTTCATCTCCTGTCCATAGCTCTTTCCATACCTGCATAAGACCTTGTAGTGTTCTTATGTACAGTAACTCAAAGGGTGAAAATCTTGTACTCGCTAGTAGGACTTCTCAGCAAGCAAATAATACTACCTAAAGGTACCTGTTCAAGTCATGTGGTCTCTCCTGGCACATCTTCTTCAGCATGCTCTTTAAGACCCCATTGACTCTCTCACAAAGTCTATTACATCTAGAGTTGTACAGCTACAAGAGCATATGTTAATGAGTCAGCATCCCTGTTGCATAATTTCTGAGGTAAATTGAGTTCCTCTGTAACTCAAGACTTCTTTAGGAAAGCCTACTCTGCATAACAATTCCAGAAGGACTTCTGCTACTCCCTTCATCTCTATTTTCAGCAATGCTACAGCTTCTGGATAATGTGTCACATAATTGAATATTGTCAGCACACACTGGTTGTTCTTGTCAGATAAAGTCAACAGCTACTCTGCTGAATGGCTCTTCTATGAGAGGCATCTCATCCAGTGGCACCTTGGCTACCTTCCCTCTAGGTACTGTTCTTTGGTAGATATCACATGACCTGCAGAATCTCGTCCCATCTTCCATGACTCCTGGCCAATGGAAGTTGCTGCTGATTCTGTCTGCTGTCTTCTTTGTTCCTAGGTGTCCTTCCACAATCAACTTGTGAGCCAATTTCATCACTTGAGTCCAGTATTCTGTTGGTACTATGATCTGTTTAACTTCCCTTGATAGATCTGGTACACCACTCCTTTCGAGTCCTCTATTCTGTAAGTCCCTTTCCCCTTTGTCTTGTGCTCGACTTTCTCCTCAGCACTATTCCAATGTTTCTGCAGGCGCTTGATGTCTTGCTATTCTTGGAGTGACTGCAGATGCTTTATCAGTCTCCTTTCTTTTTGGATCCTCCAAACTTCTACTGCCTGATATATTGCCAATCACCAAGTCATAGATGGGTGTCTTCATGCACATGGCCTCAAGGTCTTCCATGTCGTATGGAGTAACCACTTTTACTCTTGCTATGGGAAACTTTCTGACTGTCCCATCAATCATCACACACAAATGTACTTTGCCTGCCATCTGGTCATCAGATACTAGATTGGTTCTCACTGTTGCATCCAGTGTCTAGTAGGACTTGTCCCCGACATAGACTTCACCTACTGACATATTGTGGTTTGTTGGCACCTCTTGATGTTTGTCACATGTTCCAATTATTACTGGCACTGTTGACCCACTTGATAATTTGACGTGATAATCAATAATCCACTGTTTAATTATGGTGATAGCACTTCCTTCGTGTGGTGAATCTGACTAGTTGTTTCCATTCTGGTTCTTCTGGCAGCAGCACCCATGGTGAAAGTCTCCCTTTTTTGTATCTTGCCAGCACAGTCTTTGTAAGTAGCTCCAGCTGCTGTTGCTTGTTGGTGATAGACTTGCACTCACCCACAATGTGTCCCATTTTATTAGGTTGTCAAGAAAGTAATGTCGTGTTTTGGAACACTTTCATTAACTACCCACCAAAAAACGTACATCACGTATAATAGTTAAACGAAACGTCACGTTAGTGTAGCCTATAATGTGTAAAATTTAGTATACTCTAATCCATTATAGCGATGTCACACGATGAGACACACATTCGGCGTATAATGCTGTTTAAATACAAGAAGGGAAACAATGCCTCTGTAGCCACAAAG